CAAAGGAAAACAAGGGGAATGTTTTCCACTGTTTTGGGTTTAAGTGCAAACTTCCCCCTGCAGTTGCCAGTATTTCTTGCTTCCCCTCCACTGCTGCCTCTGCTTCACATGATGACTGATTTGAAAGGCTCAAAATGGTGGCCATCTTGAAAAATTGCTGAAATTCAAGCGGCTAATGGGAAATATTGACCTGACCTTATGGGTGAACATGCCACTATGTATGCTGGTATGAAAGGTTTCTAGAGTGACATGCTGGACTAAAAGTTAACTCTTTAAACTTTCCAAATCTTGCTTTTGCTGATCCGTTGCTTCACTTTGGAATGAAAACACCTTAAATCTTTTGATTTACTCCTCCATCTCATCTCCACCTTTCCTCTGAATCCTTTGCCCCATCCTTCAGGAGTCAGAAGTGGATTCAAGCAAGCAGTCTGACAGCCCGACTGAGGAGGAGCCGACCACGCCCAGAGCCACCATAGTCACCCAGAATCCCAAGTACCAGCTTCTGATGAACCACGATCTGAAGACCAACGGGCTGAGCACCAGGGAGGCCAACGGGCCGGGCGGCACCGTGTCGGTCGGGGAAAGAAGCCCCTGCTCTCAGATGGGAGACCAACCGGTCAGGGACGAACAACGCGTGGGTCCCTGGAGTCCCTGGCCTCTCGGGACTGGGACACGGGATCTGACAGGGTGAGTGAGGAAGACCAGTGTGTGTGTGTGTGTGTGTGTGTGTGTGTGTGTGTGTGTGTGTGTGTGTGTGTGTGTGTGGTGTGTGTGTGTGTGTGTGTGTGTGTGTGTGTGTGTGTGTGTGAGAAGGATTTTGGTAGATTAAGTTTGGGCCAAATAGGAAGCAGATGCTGAGGATAACAGTCATTCTAGAGTTAACAGCGCCATCACATGGAGGAAACGGGAACTGATTTAATTCCTGCGCAGAAATCCGAAGGTCTTCTTGAATTTAAGTCAAAAAGACGTGAAGTTGATTTATTCTGGGTAAAAAAGACTTAAACTTCAAGCTTCATAAATAGTTCAATACTCCAAAGTATAAAAAAAATGGTAAAAGATTTAGATTTAGAGTCCTTAACATTTATCTTTAAAGGAATTTATTAACCTCAAATATGTAGAAAAGAACTTAAGGGAAATAAAATGAAAAATGTTAAAATATTCCAAAAATTTTAAAAACAAATTTATTGTTTAAAAAAACAACAACAAATTAAGCATTAATTGAGGCCTCAAATACTAAAAATATCAAAGATAACATTTATATACCTGCTATTTATCTTTAAAGGAATTTATTTACTTTAAATATCTAGAAAACAATTCAAGTCAATAATAAAATAAAAATGAAAAAATATTCAGTTCAAATTTTTTTTTTATATTTTCAAAAGTGAAGATTAAATGATACTTAAAGCATAGTTGATCCTAAAAAATGTACAATGTCATTTATTTAATCTTCTAAATATTTTTTAACTAAAGTTGAGATTTAGAGACTTTTTTAAAGCAACTTTGTTTCCTCACATATTTAGAAAACCATCGAAAGTAGATTAATAGAGACAAAAGTTTTAAAATTCAAAATGATGAAAAGTTTAATAAATGTTTAAAATTTTAAATATTTAAAAAGAATATAATTAAGATTCTAACTAAATATTTTAATGTAGAAAAAACTATGATGTACATTTTTGAAGTTTAAAGGTATTTAAAAGAACTTTGAAAAATTTAATCTATTTAATGTCTTTTGCCAAACAAATTTCTAAACTTATTACAGAATATTTTTGGTAGGTGCTTTTGCTGATATTTAGATAAATCGGTAAAAAGTACATAAATAATAAAAAGGAATAATTTTTATTTAGGTTGGAACAATATTGTATATAAATTAACTGATTTATCTCCAACCTTCCAGCACTTGTCTGTTGCAGAATGAGTCCAATCTAATCTTTTCTTTCCAGTTTTTGCACAGCGCCACCTTCTGGAAGAAACACAGATTGAAGGTTTTTTTTCGTCAGCTTCCCAGTCCAATTTCCAATCAAAGCACAGAAACTCGGCTTCAATTAATGTTTTTATTTTACAAAAAACACTAGATCTACTGCGACGGAGAACTGGAGACAGACTGAGGATTTCCTTTTAATTACAAAGATAAAGTTACAATATTAGCAGAAGAAAGTCGGAACATTATGAGAAAAAGTTGTGAATAGTAATCCAAGGATTCTTTCTGTTGATAATTTGATGTTGATGTGTTAAAAGATGAAGAGTTTCCTGTTTATAAAACAGATACCAATTACAAGATGCACAACATTCCTCATATTAAGGCAGCAGTAGGACAGATTCTTTATGACAATTTTATTCTCATATTATGACTTTATTTTGGTATTTTCATGGCTATTCTTGTAATATGATGTCTGTAGTCGACCATTACAAATTTATTAGTGTATTATTACAACTTCACTTAATATCATGACTTTATGCTGTAATTCTAACTTTATTTGCAAATTCTTCATTTTTATATATTTATGACTTTTTCTCATAATGATTAATTTTTAATCATAAAATGTTGGTATATTCACAATATTTTCTGGTATTACTTATGTAATATTTTAACTTGATTCTTGTAACTTCTCAGTCCGGCTCTAATACTCCGTCTCCATGTTAATGTGTCACGCAGCAGAAATGAAACAATAATTCACAGCTGATGTCACGTTTTTCCTGTTGAAGTAATAACTGCCTTCATCAGATGTTTGCATTTGTTTGCGTAGAAGAATTTTTTTCTGTTTTTATTTGCTGGGAGTAAACAGCTGTTGTGTGTTTGCAGACGGGCGTTGTCGACAGCCCTCCCCGCGTCTTCAACAGTCCGTACGCCACGACCACGTCCATGGATTACACCCCAGCCTACCGGATGTCCGAGTACAAGGTGTGTGTCTGGTTTCTGTGTGAAGTGGAGAGTGGGGAGCTTTAGCGGATGAAGTTGCGTTTGTCTCCAGGTTCAGGGCAGACTCTCTCCCGCCACCTCAGAGATGAGCCTGTACGGCTTCAACAGCCGCAGCACCAGCCCCATCGGCGTGCCCTCGCCCACGCTGACCGCCCAGCGCACACGATTCTCCACCTACGACACCCTGAGGAGAAGGCCCGAGATGACCAACACGGTACAAAACCCGCGCCTGTCTCTTTAAGGAAGCCATCGCAAAAACAACGTTTAAAGTTTGTTCAGATTTTAGGGTTAAAAAAGTGAATTTTAAATGTTCATATCTGACCAGCAGGTGGCGCCTGTTCACTACAGCATTCGTTCCGCCACATTGGGAGCGCCGAATAAGAAAGACTTCATAGAAGAACTGACCAAACAACTGGACGGCTGTCAGAAGGTAAAATAAATCTCAGATTAATAAGATACCAATCAGGCTCTACAGATGCATCTGGATACATTTAAATAATACCAAAGAGATTATTTTATTTAGGAGAGTAAGCCATAAAGATCAGTATTCAAGATACTGGATACTCTGAGTGCTTTATCCAAACAAATATTGATGGAAAGTTGAGTGGAAGGAAGAAAAGGTTTGTAGGGAGAACTGGATTGCTGCAGTTGTAACATTTGCCTTGTACAAATAAACTGAACTGAAATGTTCAGTTTAGACTAAATTTGGCATAAAAGTTAAAGATTTAAAGACATTTTGTTTGGTTTTATCTCGGAGCTCCATGAGGTTCTGATTGCTGTAACTTTAACCAATAATACCAGAGATTAGAAGTATTCAATATAAAAACTGGATTGTTAGTTATTATGTGACTGATTATTCAACAGTATTTCTCATGTTTTGTGTTTTCAGCGCAACGCGTTCCTGGAAGCAGAGAGCGTTGAGATGGAGAAAGAGAGGAACCAGATCAGGTCAGAGCCGACGAGCCGCATCATCACAGATCATTTCAACTATTTATGCTTAATCCTGATTAATCTGATAGATTAAATAATGCAGGTTAACCTGAGGAGAGTTATGGGATGGATGGAAACAAATGTAAAGCCCGAACCACCTAGCTTAAAAAAAGTTAGTTACAGAATGCAGCTAACGCTAACCTTGAATAGGTTGGCAAAAAAAGTGATTCAGTAGCGAAATCATCCAGCCTAATGGAAGTAAACTTCACTGACCACAAAAATTAACAAAAAAAGCAAGATAGCAACCATAGAGAGGTATGTTAGCAGCTAGCAGTTAGCTGTAGCCTCAACCATCTCAAGTCACAGAACGCAGTGAGTTAAATTTTTGCCTGACAGAAGAGAAAAAATAACTACATAGAATATTTGCAGTTATTTAGTTAGACTACAACAAAAACTAACCCTGTGATTAATGTTCTTAAGTAGATTTTTTAAAGAACTTAAGACAGTTTAAGGCTTTACTTTTAAGTGAGGCGGGAATAACTCAATGACTGTAGTCCAATGAACACACTTTATAAATCCTTAGCCAGAAACAGAAATTGTGTAAATTGTTTGTTTTGTGTTTGATTTGCTGCTTCGACCATGTGAGGTGTAAATCTCATCGGTAACGGTCCGGTTGTTCTGTGAAGGTTCGATATGCGCGCCCTGCTGGTGAACAACGAGGACCTGCTGAGGACCAACACCCAGCTGAACAACGAGCTGAAGAGAATCAGAGAGCAGATGATCGAGATGGACAAGGAGAGCCAGGGCCTCCGGGAGAAATGCCGAGAGATGGAGGTGAGACGGAGATTAGCATGCTAATCCCTCTGGTCGGATGATTTTCATACTCAACTCAGGATGAGTTTCAACATGGCTGCCATTTTGTGCCTTTTAAGCCACTTATTGCCAGAAATGTTCCTCATTTTAGTGGATGATTTTAGTGCCACATCACATGTTTTCAACCATTCATACAACTTTAAATAATATGGAGCAAAATGAGACACCAAACTGAAACTGAACACTTTGGTGTTTACAAATCTGACACTGATATGAGACCAAAGTCTCAGACCATTTGTCTTTGTTTGGCTTCAGTCTGTGTGACGTTTGTTGTTTGTTTTGCAGATTGAGGTGAAGGAAACCCGGGAAATGATGGTGGAGGCCAACAACCAGGAGTACGCCTTCAACTTCCTCCAGCAGTCCCTGAAGAACAAGATCCAGGATGCTGAGGTAGAACCAGACGACCTGCTGTGAATCTCTCACCCAGACAAACTGCATAGACATAATATAGACGTCTGAGAAGTTTTATTACACCTTCTCTGTTATTATGGAACATAAACTACCACCATTACTTCTTACGAGTCGGCCATGTTTGTTTGTTTGCTGCTGTTTGGCGTTCAGGACAACCTGGAGAAGCAGACCCAACACGCCCAGTCTCTGGCCGAGAAGCTGTGGCTGGCAGAGAGGCAGCTGGATGAGCTGGAGTTGGACAAAGAGACCCGAGACAAGAAGACGTCTGAGCTCAACAGCACCATCCTCAGGCTGGAGGAGGAGGTGCAGAAACGTTTAATCTGCTGGTTTCTGGCTGTAAGAGGCGCCGCTAATGGCTGCTTCTGTTTCCAGCTCAGCGAGGCGCTGCAGTCGTCCCCAGAACTCAGCAGAACTGAGCCTCCACCTGAAGCTGCGTGAAGACGCCCAGATGAGGGTGGAGGAGCTGGAGGAGGTGCTGCTGGAGAAGGACCAGGAGATCCAGAAGCTGCAGCTGCTGGTCAGCAAGCTGCAGGGAGAGGTACGCAGCTGCAGCACACATGAAGCAGGCGTTCAGCTGCTGCTGCTGCTTCAGGTTCTGGTTCTGTCGGGTCCAGGTGTCCGGGAAGCTGATCGATAAGGAGCGCAGCCTGGAGGAGGAGATCCAGCTGCGGGAGCGGCTGCAGCTGCAGTGCAAACAGGCCGAGCGCACGGTGGACGACCTGACCATGGAGCTGCACAGCACCAACCAGGCCAAGGACGACCTGGCCAAGCAGCTCAAGGTGGCCCAGGTACTGCCTGAGCAAAAAACAGCAAACTCAAAAACCTGGAGGGAAAAACTCACAGGATCCTGGTGGATCCCAGAGGATCCCAGAGGATCCTGGTCAAAAACAGTGAAAAAAAGTTAAAAAAAAAGAGAAATATTTGCAAAAAATAGGCCTGCAAAAATGGTCGAATTCTGCAATTTTTTTAAAATTTTTTAACAACTTAAACATTTTTAGACAATATTAGAAATACAGAAAACTATAAAAATCCTTTTAAAAATACATATTATTTAAACATTTTATTGCATTTCTTTAGTAAATTATTGATCATTTAAAGTAAAAGATTTGTGCTTTACTTAATATCAATAACATGATCGACTGATTATTTGTGAAGCAATTAATAATTGACATTTTTCACTGAAGTTAAACCAGGTGAAGCTAAAACGATTTTTTATCCTAAATGATCATTTTTGTTCTGAATGTTTTATTTTATCAAGTGGCCAATTACTAAACTAGCAGAGGATTATTTAAATTATTTTATTAAACTCTTATGAAACTACAAATAGAATAAAAAACAATGACAGATTAAACTTTTATTTTTGCACCATATTGATCACAGGAAGCTGCGTAGTGAGAAATGCTGCCACCTTTGGTGGGAGCTGGAATGTCAATGTTTGACAGTATTTTTTTTAGAAAATTGGCTCAAAGACTTATTAACGCAAATAATAATAGCAATAGTAACAATAATAAAGAAAAGCATGGATTTGTTGATTTTATGTGACGTTTTGCTATCAGAATTGTAAAACAGTGCAGTGATTGTTTCTGCTGAAATATTTCCGTCTTTATTAAACTCAGGTTAAGTAGGTCAGTTTCTTCTCTGGGTTTATTTTAAAGAAATGAGCAATAAGTTTCTTTTAAGCACTAAAACAAATATCTTTTTTCGTTTCTAAATGTTTTTCTGTGAAACAGAAACGTCCACATGAATTAACCAGACATCCAGCCACCAGTTTGGGGTTAATGAGGCATTAATTATGCTAATCCTGTTCAGCCGTAAACGCTCTAAAACGAGCGGCCATAATGAAACGCGACCGTTTGTTTTTCTGGTGAAACAGGAGAAGCTGATCGATGTGGAAACGGACTTGGAGGATCTGCTGGAGAGCGAGCAGCGCTGGGCCGCCAAGCACAAGAAGACCATCGAGCAGGTAGGGCGCCACCTGCAGGCAGAGCGTCACCTGCAGGCGGAGCGCCGCCGCTGAGCCTTCACCGGACCGGCGCCGATACTTTCTGCTGTGTTTCAGACGGAGCAGCTGCAGATGAAGCTGATTCAGGAGAAAGATCTGAACGACCAGCTGGAAACGGATAAGACCTTCATGGAGAGACAGGTGACCTTTAACCTTTGACCTCATGTCATTTAAAATATTAATTTCATCAGTTAATCAGTACGTCAGTTTTACTCTTACTTTAGTTTGAATACTTTTACTAAAGTTTGGGTGTTTTACCTGAGCTGTTAACGACGGCGCAGCTAGCATCTTCACCACTAGCATCTTCACCGCTAGCATCTTCACCACTAGCATCTTCACCGCTAGCATCTTCACCGCTAGCATCTTCACCGCTAGCATCTTCACCGCTAACATCTTCACCGCTAGCATCTTCACCACTAGCATCTTCACCGCTAGCATCTTCACCACTAGCATCTTCACCGCTAGCATCTTCACCGCTAACATCTTCACCGCTAGCATCTTCACCACTAGCATCTTCACCGCCAACATCTTCACCGCTAGCATCTTCACCGCTAGCATCTTCACCACTAGCATCTTCACCGCTAACATCTTCACCGCTAGCATCTTCACCGCTAGCATCTTCACCGCTAGCGTTTCCCTGCTAAAAATGGCGCCTGATTTTTCTGTGTGTCCAGATCAGGGAGCTGCGTATGGAAGTGGAGGAGCTGCACAGCTCCAGGGTCCAGGAGGAGGTGGTGTCCCGGGCCGAGAGCCGGGCCAAGGAGCTGGAGAGCGCGCTGAGGGCCGAGGAGAGGTGAGCCGCGCTCCGTCGCTCCATTTCTGTCTCGTCCAGATTCTTCGTCCTTCTCTGAGTGTTGATCTCAAGGTTGAACTTTCCCACTCTGGGTTTTGTTTTTGTTGTTTTTTTAAATGTTTTTTTGGTGTTTTTATAGAAACAAGGCGACTCTGACAAACTCCATCAATAAACTGGAGAGGAAGATCAACGAGCTGAACGACCAGCTGGAGGAGGAAACCCGCATCGCTAACGAGCAGAAAGAACTGGTAATGCACACTGCAGCCTCCCTCCACCGGGGGGCAGCAGAGGCACATGGAAACATGAAAACTACAATGAGAAACGTTCCCACATTGCGATGATTAAACAATATAATAATTTACATTATTTAAATCTGACAGAGCAGGTTAACGTTAGCAACATGCTAATTCCCTGATGTGTCTGGTTGTCAGATGACACAGAGGATGCGCACGCTGAAGCGGCAGCTGAACGAGGCGGAGGAGGAGGCGACCAGGAAGGAGGCGCAGTACCGCCACCTGCAGAGAGAGCTGACGGAGGAGAGGGAGACGAGCAGCCGGCTGCAGCGCCAGCTGCTGGACCAGCACCTGCAGACCAAGTAGGAACCGCAGCCTGCAGGCCAAACCCAGAAAATAAAACACTCAAAGACGACGCGCTGAATTAGCATGTTTTGGTCTTCCATTTGGGCAATAAGTCCAAGTTTTTTGTTCTGGAAAACGAGTCACTTCAAAATGAAACTTTCCACTTCTTGCTAGCTCTGCTAGCCAGCTTGATGAATTTGACTGGAAACCAATGAGAAAACAACTTCTATTTTATATTGTTTAACATAAAACAAAGATTTTGATGAAAAATGTAAGATTTAAAAATGTCCGTCTTTCTGTGCTGCCATGATGTTTCGTTTTCCAACAGAAGTGAAGGATTAACGAAAGTTTTCTGTGTCTGACAGACGTAAAGACAACCTGACGATCCGTCAGACTCTGGACAGCCTGAGGTTGGACCTCAGCGGAGACGAAGACGACGACGAAGAGGCGGAGAAGCCGCCGAGTGAACCACCAACCAGCGTGACTAAAGTTTAACCTCCCAGCGCCACCTTCCTGTGGAGAAATGGATTCATTTGCAGGAAACCAGCAGATCTGCTGCAGCAGAAACACAGAAATGACTTTTAGCTGCTTGGAAATAATCTCATGTTTCCGTGAAAATTCTTCACTTTAAACCAGCTGAGAAATTCAATGAGATGAAATCTGGTGCTCGGTTGTAGAAACACTTTGCTTTCGGGTTGTTCCTGCCGTGAAAACACAAGCAGGTTCAAATCAGGACTCTCTTTTCCTCTTTTCATGTTTTTAAGAAGTTAAATTTCCTCGGCGCCCTCTGCTGGTGGACACCATGAACTACAACCGCTTCATTTTGCACTCAGCTCTTTGCTTTCAAAATGTTTATAGATGTGATCTAGAAGAAAACTTTGAGGAAAATGTTTAAGTTTCTCCTAATAGAAAATATAGAATAAGCTCTGAGAAGAAAACTGTCTGAAACGCCTCGGTTTTTATTTTCTGTACAGAAACTCGTTTATCTGCAGTATTTTAGTTTAAGATGCTTCAACGGGTCGTGAAAGTGTCTGTGGGATCTTTGATTCGTGTCTCTTTTCATCTCAATCGCAGCAAAGATTATTTATATGTTTCGAAGTCTTCCTGGGAGATCTTAACAGTTCATTTTGTTTTGCATATTTAAAGGGTTTGCTGCTGTTTTAATGTAACTCTGCCATTCGTGTACAGAAGTTGTTTGAACTTTATCGGGTGAGGAAACCGTTCACCTTCTGTGGTTTGCAACAAAAGGAAATCAGAAATATAACCTTTAGTCCATAAGCCGGTGGATTTGTGTCGTGTTTACAATGTTTCTCATTTTAAATAAAAGCACAAGCTTTTATTTAAAAAACACATTTAGTTTTCTCTCATATTGGGTATTTATTTTTTACCCTTCGGTACAAAATAAACTTTAACTTTGACGAATGGAGTTTGACCTGTTCTTCCACAAACTGTGAATAAGTGGAACTGGGCCAATATATTTGATTTTATCAAAGCTACAAAACGTAATAAATAATTAACTTGCTAATTAACCTAGTTAATATATTTAAGTTTTATTTGTATAAATGTTAGATTCGTGTGGAGCCAAAGAGTCTCAGAGGAAACCAACAGACTCCAGTCCAAACTTTTCTCCATTTCTCCTTCAGAAAATGAACAAAAACTGATTTTCTACTTTAAAACGAATCTCTGTAAAGAAAAAACTAATAAAATAAACCAGTAACAGTTCTGAGGATAAAACCAACCGATTTATTTCAGCTCTGGCACCAGAAACACAAAGCATCTCATGTCGTTCTCATTGTGTCAAACATGCTCAACATACAGGCATCGATACTCACAGCGATAACGCAACAAACGAGTTTAAACTGCAGGCATCAGAGAAACTCACAGAGACGTTTCCAAAAATAAAACCCACTTCAGGGACTTCTGACCCGCTAAATTCACATTCAGCAGCTGACAAAACCTCAGATCCAACAGGCACAACATGAAGATCAAGATGATGCTGGACAGACGCGTTGAGAAGAACCACAAACAAACTCAAACATAAAGCATTAAGCTAACGCTAGCTTTAAAAAATAAACAATGACAACTAACCGCATGGAAAGATTGTCATGATGACAAAACATTGATGTCAGAACTGATCATGCAAGGAAACAAACATATATGTAATTATTTATGGAGCTTTAAAATGATTTAATGTTTAATGAAATATAACAGAGTTAATCCAGACTTGTTCAGTTTGGAGCTCATTTCTGAATGACTGAAATAATTCTGTATTTTCATTATTAATATGCAGATTAGTGTCCATTTCTCCAACACAGGTCAGACAAACCATCTTGGCACATGAGGTATTCCATAAAATTAGGTTTTTTTTTTTTTTTTTTTTTTTTTTTGCAATCTTCCATTCACAGCTAATTGTTAAAAACAATAAAACAAGCATAAGTTTTAGAAAGTGTAGTAAATAAGTCAACAATGAAGCACAATGGTGGTAAAATGATGATATGAATAAATTTATAAGAAGGACATGTTAGTAATTTAAAACAAGAAAAAAAATTATGTTTGATTTTTGGGTGAAAATCAACACAAAGCAACTTAATCCATCTGTTTTAAAAAGTGAGATTGAACCCAAAAATCATCCAAAATCTGCAAATTCTACTGGCAGTTTGGGTCAATAAATTAAATGCAGATACAAAACATTGTTATAATGTGCACAATAATATTTTGTTATGTCAAAGCACACAAAACATCAAACAATGCCTAGTATGATAAGTTTTCTTTGAGTTTCTGTTTCAAAAAAAATAAAGAAACATGACAAGAGGCTAAACCATGCTAACGTTCTGTCATGTTTTTGGATAAACTAATAAGCTAGCTCAGGTAAGTTGAATTCACTTTTAGTAAATTATTGTTTTCTGTGATGATACAGAAACTAGAAAGATATTAAACAAAAAAATAAACACATAAAAAAAATAATAAAAATACCAAAACTGATTTCTTCCATTTAGACAGAAAAATGCAAAAACCTTGAGTCACTGCTGTTAGCATCCTGCTAGCAGATATGAAGGCTACCAGCTTAGCAACAATGCTTCATTAGTAAATAAATACTGTAGAATGATTTTGTTTGCTGTCAAATATTTATTGTTGTTAATTAAAGCAATCCGGGTCAGTTGTTCCTCTGGAAATTCATTCAACCATTAGCTAGAAATGCATCACCATGTAGCTGCTAGCAAAGCCATTTAACTAAACGATGAACTTATGTTTTTAACTATTTTTAAATTAATAACCCGTCATAAAAATCTGTCAGTGCAGAACAACCCGGCGTCTACAGGACAGTTTGTACTTGAGAAAGTCGGATATGAAAAAAACAAAAATGCAAAATGGCAGACAAAAACAAACGACAGGCTAACTGAGCATTTATTATTTTGTTAATAGCTGTGATGAACATCCAGTTTAAACACATTTTTACACCATATGGAGAATCAAACAATGTAGGTTTAATTAATTTCATCTATGCTCTGATGTTTGCGTAAAAAAAAAAGCTGGCTCTGCTAAGCTAGCATGACTATGAATGATATAAACTACTGAGGCAGATAAAGAATAAAATATACATAGAATTGCATAAAAAATATGAAGTCACCCAACTGAGCAGAACCTTGAGCCGATGTTACATTAAAATATTCTTGAAGCTAACTGTGTGAAGCCATATTAGGTACAATTATGCTAAATGAACTTAATTCGCTTTAAACGTCAGTTTCTTTGTGCTGAAAATGAACTGTAGCTTTAAAGCATACAGATGACAAAACAATGCCAATACTAATTAATTTTATGTCGTACTAAAACAAATGCTCGTGGCTAAGCTAAGTTAGCCTATCTTTAGCTAACTTAAACTTGATCGGGAATAGACCAAATGAAAATACAACAAAACCTGAAGTTTATTTTTCAAATGAGCTACTGTTTAGCATCTTGCTAGCAGTTATGAAAGCTAAACTGGCTAGCATCAATGCTACATTAGCTAATGAGTCTTTGTATCTGTTGTTTAAAAAAAGTAAACAAACGTTAATATAGATCGTTTAATTTTGTACGACCATTTGTGGTGGATCTCCACAATAATAACATACTTATTACAACAAAGAAAAAAGAGTTTAGTTGCAGTGGATCTTAAAAGTGTGGAAAACCTGTGAAAATTAAAGATTTTGGTTTTGATGAACCGTTGACAAATATCACTGCTAACTGTAGAAACGTGATTACCGTCTCATCTTAAACTGGTAAACAGTTTTAAGAGACATTGTAACGTTTTTACCGTTTCACAACCAAAACATTGTAGGTTAAGCTAGGTTAGCTTGATCTTCATTGTGTCAGTGAAGTTAGCGAGAACAAACAAATGTTCACAGAGCAAGAAGTAAAGCAAGAAATATGACTCAAACTATCTTAACAAAATCTTGAGCTGCAGTTGTTACGTTAGCATCATGCTAGCAGCTACAGAAGCTAACTGCGAAGCTAATCTGTACCAGTTTCTACAAGCAATTCAACAGCTAGTGGTGGTTAGCTGATCTTGTATCATTTTTACTACAATTTCAGGTCAAGTTATGTTTCTATTTTCATTTATTTTAAATTAAACTGAATATTATGTTTTTACTGGGCACTTTGTTTTGGCTGAAGCTGAAATACTCCCATATATTAGCTAAAAAAGCTTAGATTAATAAAAAAAAACTGGTCACAAAAAGACATCACAAACAGTTTTATGTTGAGAAACGCTGCTGGAGCCTCTCCATGTTTGTGTCAAAGACTCCTAGTTAAGCCCGTTAATACAAAACACATTTGGCACATGTTCAGTAAACGACTAAAACAAAGCTTCTCTAATGTGTGGTTGGTACCGGTCCAGCACAGAGCGGCGAGAAACAAAGAAATATAATTAAAACACATTGGTCCCACTGATCCTCAGTGTGGGTCCAGGATCAAATGCTTCATTCACACAGCCTGGCATTAAACTCGTTCAGCCCAGATTTGACTCAAAGTTCCACCTTTTCCTGCTGTGACGCCATGAATTGGATTTCAGATTCTGATCAATGGTGAAGCAGGAAGCGTGCAGAGTTTAATTCCCAGGCTGCAGGTTTTCAGCGAGGCACATTTTGCGTCTGACAGCGATGACGGCGCCCCCTCCTGGTTCAATTTATTCTCAAGGCTGACAGGCGGAGGCTGCGATGCCCTGGGTGTCCACTAGAGGGAGCTGCAGCGCGTTTATTGTCAGAGCTGCACACAGGAATGATTGAAAGATGACAGTAACATGCTGAGGACAGACGGGGAGGAAACGGCGGGGGACGGAGGACGGAGCAGCGTCTCCGGGTCTAACATGCGCATCTTTTGGGGTCGGGCGTTCCCTCGCCCAGCTTGGCGGCGCCGTTCCCGTTGGCGGGGTCGACCGGCGGTTTGTCCACGCACTGCTCCATCCTCTTCATCACCAGGTCCAGCAGCGTGATCACCGCCTTGTCCACCTCCGCTCCGGTGGCTGCGCTCGTCTCAAAGTACGGGATCCTGAAAGGACCAAAAAACACCAGCAAGAGGACATGCTTCATGATCAATCAATCAATCAATCAATCAATCAATCAATCAATCAATCAATCAATCAATCAATCAATCAATCCAGGGTTTCACAAACCTAAATTAGCTCCTCAAACAGCTAATATGAACTTTGCTTTATTTCAACTTAAATGTTATAGTAATATTTCAAAGTGTGTTACTTTCATAAAAAACTAATTAAAGTGTATGATTTAAAAATTGGTTGGATTTCATTTTATTTATTTTTCCTATTTTTTCTTGTTTTCTATCCAACCCTCTGCTGCCCCCTGGTGGCCAGGCGTCGAAAAACTGATTTAATCAAAATAGAATTGGATCAATAATTTCTATTCTGACGATGAATGAAAAACAAACAAACTCAGCAGACTCAGACACACATGCAGTTTTTATTAAAGTTTAATCAGTTTTTCATTGATTTTGTTATTTTCTTGGTATTTGTGTGAATTATTGTCATTTTGGTCATTAATACGTTTCCACTTAGCTTTATATGTTGGTCCATTTGTTGATGTAATTGTTAAATATTAAATAACTGATGATACTTGCCCGTATTTGTCGGCCAGCTCCTTGGCCTGTTTCTCCTGAACTTCCCGCTGGTCGGCCAGGTCCGCCTTGTTCCCGACCAGAACGATGTCCGGGTTCTCGCAGTACGCGTTGGCCTGCAGCTGGCCTGCCGTTCGGTTGCCACAGCGAACCGGCAGAGGACAGAGAAACGTTATTGAAGATTTGAGAAAAATCTGGATTTTTTTTCACCAATTTGCTGGTTGGGTTTTGAGGGCGGCCATCTTGGTTTACAAAAGTTCTTTCACAGCTTCTGTTTGTTTGGATTTTGAATTATTCAGCTAAACTTTACAACTAAACATAAGAGCCATTTGTATTTTTAGTCACAGAAATAAAAACAGAATAATATACATGAAGATATATAGATATATATGTATACATATACATAGCTGGTTGTTGCTGAATAATAAACTGAAATTTGCTCTGTGTGTTTCATGCTGGATTGGATGATTTAATCAGATGAATTTGATCTTAAAGCTACGTACTCATCCAGTTGCGGACGTTGAGGAAGCTCTGCTGGCTGGTGAGGTCGAACATCAGCAGGAAGCCCATGGCGTCCCTGAAGAACGCCGTGGTCAGGCTGCGGAACCTGCAGCACAAATCACAACCACGACGTTATTAAAGTTCGTAACTTTTATATATTTTATATATTAGTTAAAATCGTCACCATGTTGTCAGTTTGTTATGAGACATAAAAGATTGATCTCCCTGAGCTGCTGCTGTCTGAAAAAATGCACCAAAAACAGCCAATCAGAGCCAGGAGGCGGGGCTTAGCGCTGTCAATCATTCTAGTGTACGCCCTGCTAAAGGTGCTACTGGCAGAGAAACAACTTGAACTTACAGGAAAGTCGTTTGCCCACTGTCAGTGGTGGCTATGCTAACTAGCCTTAGCATGTGCAGCATGCTGCTACGCTAGCTGCACATAGCAGAGAGAAAGGTGGTTTGTGATTGGCAGCGCTAAGACCCGCCTCCTGGCTCTGATAGGTTGCTTCTAGAACTGGGTGACGACAGAAGAGGTCAATATTTTTCACAGATTATCTTATATATTTTCATAAACCGTCAATAAATATGTAAAATATGAATTTTAAAAGTTTCTGCAGCTTTAAAGGTGGAATAAATTCCTTTTACTGGTTCAGAGGAAATGTTCCGGTTTTTCAGACGTTGTTCTTTATTAAATCTTTTTCTGGTTAAACTGAGACGTTTGAGTTCAGTTTTCTGAATCTTTATTTTTCATTTTGCGTGTTAAACATGTCGAATCTTCCAGGCCAGCGTTCGTCTGCATTTGGACCAGAACCGCCTGATCCTGGTGATGAATCACTGCAGCATTAGTCACCGATCGTTACGTCACTTTGTCCGCATTGAACCGACCAGCAGAACCGACCGGCAGAACCGCAGCTGTGGGAGGAGAGCAGGGAGCAGCGCTGGCTACAGCGACGCTGCGACCCCAGAGGTCAAAGGTCACTTCTATACCAACAAAATGGCTGAAGAAAAGAAAATAATGTTTTACAGTTCAGATAAAAACATCTGATTGTGTAAAACTGTTTCACCAAAACTAGAAACTATAAACTGGTTTCAGCTTCAGCTGCTTCTAATTCTGTCAATAAATGAAGCATCTTTTTCTATCCAATCACTAATCTATAAACTAATTTATTGATGAACAAAAAGGAGCTGGAAGTTTTTAATGCAAACGACTAATTGATGAATCGATCAGTAAAGGAACCATTTTATTTAAAAATAAACTTTTTATTTAATATATTCCTAAAGCTGAACAAAAGGCTGATTCTCTTCAGAGCTTCAGAAAATGTTTTTTAATCTAATTAGAATATTAATAGACAAATTGATTAATTATCAGGATGATCACATTAATGGACTGGATATTTACACAGAGACTTTCAGAGTCAAACAAAAGATTCTCTGGAGGAAATTTAGCAATAAATAAAATCAGATTCTGATCCAAATTTCAAATCCTGAGAAATCTGCCCCCTACTGGTGGAAATTTATTTACAACTCCAGGAGCTGTGTCCATCCATCCATCCATCCATCCATCCATCCATCCATCCATCCATCCATCCATCCATCCATCCATCCATCCATCCATCCATCCATCCATCCATCCATCCATCCATCCATCCATCCATCCATCCATCTCCATCCATCCATCCATCCATCATCCATCCATCCATCCATCCATCCATCCATCCATCCATCATCCATCCATCCATCCATCCATCCATCCATCCATCCATCCATCCATCCATCCATCCATCCATCCATCCATCCATCCATCCATCCATCCATCCATCCATCCATCCATCCATCCATCCATCCATCCATCCATCCATCCATCATCCATCCATCTATCCATCCATCCATCCATCCATCCATCCATCCATCATCCATCCATCTATCCATCCATCCATCCATCCATCCATCCATCCATCCATCCATCATCCATCCATCATCCATCCATCCATCCATCCATCCATCCATCCCATCCATCCATCCATCCATCCATCCATCCCTCATCCATCCATCCATCCCATCCATCCATCATCCATCCATCCATCCATCCATCCATCCATCCATCCTCCATCCATCCATCCATCCCATCCATCCATCCATCATCCATCCCATCCATCCATCCATCCATCCATCCATCACCATCCATCCATCCATCCATCCATCCATCCATCCATCCATCCATCCATCCATCCATCCATCCATCCATCCATCCATCCATCCATCCATCTATCCATCCATCCATCCATCCATCCCTCATCCATCATCCATCCATCCATCCATCCATCCATCCATCCATCATCATCCATCCATCCATCATCCATCCATCCATCCATCCATCCATCCATCATCCATCCATCATCCATCCATCATCCTCATCCATCCATCATCATCCATCCATCCATCCATCCATCCATCCATCATCCATCCATCCATCCATCCCTCATCCATCCATCCATCCATCCATCCATCCATCCATCCATCATCCATCCATCCATCCATCCCTCCATCCATCCATCCCTCATCCCTCCATCCCTCTCCTGTCCCGCTGTGTCCCAGAGCTGCAGGTGAACCTTGAAGGTTTTTCCGGTTGTCGTTCCATTCGGGTTTGAAGCCGTGTAAACCTGAAGAGGAGAAACGTTTCAAATCAAATAATCTGAGGATGAAGAGAAATAATAAAAAAGAAACAAAGACCAGTTTATTTTCTGTAAAGTTTCTCTTATTTTCACTTCAACATCTTAAAATTAACAGTAAAATCTCCATTTTGTTCTAATCCAGCGAATTATTGATGACAATCGATCGATTGTAAATACTGTTTTTGCTTCTGGTCATTTATCTGGACTGATTTCCGTGTGGGAAAGGAACCGTGGCGACCCGGCTGACCCCGCGCCCGGTCGCCATGGCAACCCGGCCTCGGCGGCGCAGCGAAGCGAAGCGGAGGAAGCGCCGCAGCCTCACCACTCGCTTTTCCCTGAAGTCGATGCCCACAGTGGTGATGAACTTGGGGTTGAACTTGTTGTCGGTGTAGCGGTAGAGGAAGGTGGTCTTCCCCACGCCGGAGTCGCCCAGCGCCAGCAGCTTGATCAGGTAGTCATAATCCCCATCAGTCATAGTGGAGCCCGAAGAAAACCTGGGAGCAAAATGAAGACATTCTGTCTGCAGGAGGAGGAATCAGAGGCAGCAGGAAACGCCCGGCGCCTCATTTACCCTCCCTTTCTGGACGACACATTGTTATCGCGATAAACGATAATATCGTTTAAACACAATGACACATTCTGAAAGATCAATAAACGTCAAATGCTAACAAACATTTAAGACATTTTAAATAACAAAAACACAAATAAAATCAATTATAAAGTTTTTGTAAACAGATCAAATCATCCAGTTTTTGGCAGAAAGAGAAAAACAACAAAAGTGAAAATGGAAATTATTGAGCTTAATTTGTCATGTGATTAATTGATATATTTATTATTAATTGTTGTGAAGGATCACAGGTGATCCTTCACAACAAAAGACAATCTGTAATTTTCCAGATTGAGAAATGAAAAGCACATTTTCCCATCAGTGTTGTAAAACAAGGCAGGTTTTATTTGTAGGAATGAAGTAATCCTTTATGCGATGAGCTTTTATTTCTGCGTTCAGGAAACATGTGACTCTGGTTAATCAGCTGACTGCAGCGTGTTAAATATTGAGCTTTATTACGGGGGAGCGACGTTCTGCCTGCAGTTCAGACGATGACGCCATCAAACCGTCACTCTGAGACAAATTTAGCCTCCTGACATTTAACCTGCAAGGTTTCAATCAGTCCTGCAGGAAACTTTCCAACTGGAAATAAAAACATCAACTATTCTTTTAAATTAATGCACCTTAAAGTGCTTCAAAAATGATTCAAGTCTTCACTGAAATGTAAATAATATGCAACATATTTCATAATGACATGATTTTCTAAACTAAAGCAGAGCAGGAATAGTAAGTACACCCCAGTGGCTTAAAGAGGGGAAATAAAAACACGTCGTTCATGTTGAACGTTTCGCTGTTTCCATCATCTGATGCTACTTGCTCAATAAAACTTCTTAACAAAAATAAAGAACAACGAGGAGAGGAAACAGAACCTCTGTGTACAAAGACTTCAAAATAAGAGCCTGAATATAAACGGATGACTAAAAAAAAAACTTAACAGTCAAAAACCAAAACTTGAAAAGCATCAGCAGAACCAATGTTTATCATTAGCGACTTAGCATTAGCTTCTGCTAATACTATAATACATTAGTGTTAGCAGAACCGATGTTTATGATTAGCGACTTAGCATTAGCTTCTGCTAATACTAAATACATTAGTGTTAGCAGAACCGATGTTTATGATTAGCGACTTAGCATTAGCTTCTGCTAATACTAAATACATTAGTGTTAGCAGAACCGATGTTTATGATTAGCGACTTAGCATTAGCTTCTGCTAATACTATAATACATTAGTGTTAGCAGAACCGATGTTTATGATTAGCGACTTAGCATTAGCTTCTGCTAATACTAAATACATCAGTGTTAGCAGAACCGATGTTTATGATTAGCGACTTAGCATTAGCTTCTGCTAATACTAAATACATTAGTGTTAGCAGAACCGATGTTTATGATTAGCGACTTAGCATTAGCTTCCAGCAAAAGCACTTTAGGTTTAGTGGAACTAAATATATGATTCAGGCATGAGAACAGCATTAGCGATGCTAACTCTCTGGTCTCCACTGGGGACCAGTGAGGGTCTTTGGTCTCTTTACAGCAGACAGAGGATGAACGATCCCGTCGTTCCACCTGGAGTCACCAGTTCCCTCTAACTCTGGCTGAAGAACATCCGTTCCCCGACGGTGGATATTTTCTGAAAGGTCAGCTGGACCTTTAGGTCTGACTGATGTGTCCTCCGCTTCAACCTAACCTGATCACAGAACTAATTTGTTTTCCATCTCCTGCTGTCGCTAACAATCTGTCCTCCGCAGCCACAGATCAATAGCTGCTAACGCTGATGAGGGCTGGCCTTTAACTATTCAGTTACTCAGGACGCCCAGACGCTTTGCAGCAGATTGTCCTGAACGTTCAGCGTCTCCGCAGAAGAAACTGCAGAAACATTCAGGATGAATAATTCACTGCTGCCGACATCCTCAACTAACACAAAACACAGCAAACCTGCAACAGGCTTCAGGGCGGAATAAAGACCATCTGAGACATTCCAGAGATTTAGTTCAGTCCAACACAACAGAGTCATTATTTACCCAGCAAACAGGAAGTCAACATGGCAGACTGGATGGGAAACAAGCAGGGAGTTTATCTAGAGCCCAGCGAGGCGGTTCAGGATGATCTTCATGATAAAAACAGAACATTATTCAATTATAAAGGAAACACAACAGTGACCAGCTGAACAAACCTCACAGTTTGATGAGTATAAACCAGACAGTGTTTCATTTATTCTGCTCCAGAGCAGCGTCCAGATTTACAGGTTTGTCTGAAAAGGCAACCAAACTGGATCATCACATTCCTGCAGGCTGGTCCATTCAGAACCAGAACCAGAACGGAGAGAGCAGATTCACAGATTCATCCTGCAGTGGAAACAGCTGAGCTTTGTGCTGCGTCCTCATGACTGCAGCAGCCGCGACGCTTTGGCCTGGACAGATGGAGGCGGATCGGCGCCGAAACATCCTGCTGGACAGAACGACGACCCGATTCCTGCGCTTCTTCACTGAGCTTCACAAGATTACAAACCAGAAAAATATCCACAAATAAACATCAAAACAATAAGACCTGGAAGCAAAGACGTTCTGCATCGAAACAGAGATGAAAACAAAAATAGAAAGAAATACGACTTAGAAATCCTGAAAAACTGGAATAATTTGAAAAATAAATATTTCTAAAACTAATAAGGAAAAACTGGAATTTATCTGGGATTGTAAGGGGAAGCTAAGTGCGCTAAATGAAAGGCTAGCTTTGCTATTAGCGCATTAGCATTAGTTCACCAGCCACATGCTAGTGTTTTCTGGACGTTTTATCTACATCAGCAGATCTGGACGGCGGATCTGTGGCTCCATTTTCTATAAAACGGTTTCATATCTCATCATTTTACCACAACAGGAGAATTTACTCTGCTGCTAAAACCACGGTGAGAATCACTGTGTTTCTGTCTCCCGCCCGCTTCTTGCTTATCCAGTTGGAGGTCATGTGACCGGTCAGCTGACTGGATGAGCGGCGGCCATTTTGCCTCCGGTCTGCAGAAACAGAACATCCTGTTTGTTCTGCGTTTTTCCGCCTCCAGGATCTTTAAAGTGGTTTGACCTGAATATTTCAAACCAGAGGGAAACGTTCATTATATCACATTTTAGACCCGTTTAGGTAAAACACATTTAATTTGGTCAATAATGAGCCGTAATATTTAGTGTTATAGAAACGTTTCTCCATCTATTGGTTTTTATTAAACTATGATGAAAAAAGCAGCAGTTACATTAATTTATGCATTTATGTTGAAATAAATAAATTCAGGAATATTTTGTTTTGTTATAGCAGGAAACTTTCACATCATAACAAGATTGAAAAGAGGTTAAAAATACAAAATGAGAAATGTTTTCATTATAAAGAGATAAGTTTTTATTATCAAAACAGGAAAGTTTGTCATTTGTTTCTTGTTTTAACAAAAAATGTGTTTATCTTGTTTGTCTTGATTCAACAAGAAATGATCATCATAACCAAAAACCAATAAATAATTAATAAATAATAAATAATAACCTGATTAACTTACACTCTACGAATTCATTTAAGACTTTTAAGGCCTGAATTTTATGGATTTAAGGCTTTTTAAGGATGTATGGACAACTATCGCTAAATATTCTCCAGCATTTATTCCATGTCAGCTAATTTCCATGTTCCTTAATTGATTTAGCATAAAGTCATGAGTCCAAAATAAGAACTTTTACTGAGGAAAAATCGCTAAAGAACAATTTCAGACCTGCGATTAGCATTTTTAAAGCTAACTCGCATTTTTAAATGAATTTAAGACGTTTTAAGGCCTTAATTTGACATGAAGCTTTTTCACTTATTCATCTTTTTTAATAATACAAAAATGTCTTTAAAGTCAGAATAATTTTTATCATGTTGGAAGGGTGTACTTAGTTTTTCCCATGACTGAACATCTGTTAGGTTTTCCTGTGGCTGAAGAACAAACCCAGACGTTTCGACCTCCTCTGAACTCTGAATGTCAACTGAAATGAGCCGAAACTGAAACCTGTTCATGAGATTTATCAGATAATTTCACTTTAAAATCCTCCAGAGAGTAAAGAAAACAAACAGATTCACTCAGAGCTCAGGATTTGAGTAGGACAGAACCAGAACGACAGAGTAAAGTCCAAAAGAGACGCTGACTGCGCAGAAACTCTCAACAGAACCACAACTGTAACTTTAAGGGAGATTCTCAAATAACCGTTCAGTTCAAAATGACGAAAACTTCAATCAACCAAACCAATCAATCAATCAATACAAAATGATTTTTTACACCAAGCGTTAAAATCAAACTAAAAGCTAATGAAATCTCATCCGGCCTCCAGATCCTGCAGCAGCTGATGAACATCAGCAGGTTTGTCTCACCTGAGTCCAGAAGGTTCTTCAGATGAAACCGGTTCTGTTAACAAAATGAACCAGAATCAGAACTTTTTAAAGTTTCTAGCAGCAGAAGCAGCTTCTGCACTTCGGCCCAAATGTAAACTCAAATATTGACCCATGAAACTGCAGCGTTATAAATCATAAAAGAGGAAAAGCTCAGATATCAGACGAGTTTTCACACGTTTCCTCCTTCAGAACCAACAACGACCCGGCGGGTCACAGGAAGATTCATTCATTCACTCACAACCAAACTTTAAAGGTTGACATCAAACTTCTCGGCTCGTTTTCCCAGAAAGAAGAAATAAAAACTCAATTCGTGTGAAGAAATTACAGTTTGAATAAATTCAAAGTTTAAGAATTTATCAGCTGTTTTCATCATAATTTCTAACAGAATATCAGGCAAAGTGGTGGAGAGGTGACGATGCAAAGGTCATTTTATCTTCATGGCACATTTTCAGAGTTTTTACAGGAATTAAAGGGAAACAAACAAAATACCAAA